TAAATACACCAAGCATGCAACAAATCGGCGCAGTAGAAACGGAGCGCCTATCTCCTGGATGCATCTTCGTCTCATGAAAGGAAAGGTCGCTTTTGGTCTGCGATTAAACCGCTATCGGCCACCTGCCGCCACCTAGCCTCGCGACTATCCGGGTCAAGATAGCTCTCACGAGGGAGATTTGTGGTAGAGCCCCTGGGGAGTCCCACCATGTTTGAAGAGTATCATTTTTCAACTGATAAGACTCGAAAGTGAAGCTATAAATTGACCACAGTGATGATCCATTCGTTTAACGCATATGAATATCGCGAGGTACATTACCCATCGTTGTGGACCGTTTCGAAATACTCGCAGCTTGACTTATCGATGGTAGTGTTGCACTTGTTTTCTACGAACTAGGTCAATTGGTTGTTAATTTACACGGTCAGATAGTTACTAGTATATATGGGTGAGACATTATCTATTTCCTTGGAGTAGTTACAAAAAAAAATGCGGACAAGTGAACGTTGTCGATTGAAAACTACGCTAAATTAAGGGCATAATGCTAAAGTTTCGCAATGTTCACGGATCTAACCAGACGTTTATTACTTTCCGGATCAGGAAATCGCCGTAGCGGATCAGTGGCGAATATTTTCCGAAAGTACAGAACGGCTGCCTCCTGTAAAATGTCACTTCGTTAATTTGTGTTTTGAATTGGAACTTTTTAGGGCTTTACGCCTTTAAAAGAGTTAAGTAGAGAGAGATGGGAGTGATGTAGGAAACGCTCACTTTTGCATATGAGGTGAAATTTCCCTCGAGTAGTTCGAGGAAATCTTTTTGTTCGCGATCTAATTCACCTGAGTCATTAGATGGGAGAAAGTACGGTGTGGTCTGTAAGCGAGCAAGAAGTATTCTTTGTATGAGTCGACTTTTGCTTATATCAGACTGTTGGGCAAGGAATCGAGTCAAACTCACATTCATACGGAGAGCTTTTGAAATAAGGGTCGCTACAGGCGATTCCGAAGAGAGAAATGAAGCAAACCGCAATTAAATGTAAAGAACAAGTATGATAGCGGTATCTAAATGATAGCTGACAATTGTGATTAGTGTTACATACATCATTCGATCTAAGGAATGTAGTTAGAACAGGTGCGGTCTTGAAATGTTCCTGTTTGTCTAACCGCTTTCTGTAACAAAATGCACGGAATCAGGAAAACGGATGAAGGATAGAGCGTTCAGCATTGGCGAATCCTTCTTCCACTTCAAAATATCTCCCTTATGAGCTTGTGCCCTATGAGTACCTAGTGAAGTGTTCTATCTGACTTTGAGTTTCCCAGCCAGCTGCTCTTTAAGACAGATGCAGAGTGGGTACTTCCTCAACTGTATTCAAACACACGTGCGTCAACCACAGCTTAATCGCCCTAGAGAACACTCTAGCTTGATTCGCCGAACTGCGACCACGTACATGGGCGCGTTCGGATTTCCATACGGGTTCAGTTCCTACCGCTTCACGATCTACGACGTTCCCTACTTGTCGACATGATGTGTGCTGATTGAGTGCAGTTGTCGATGGAATCGCAATCGTCCTGAAATGGATGTATTTCAGAAAAAAAAATGAAACCTAACAGAGGTAAAAAAGAGACAAACTCGGTGAAATTGGATGAGATTCACACAATCATCGTAAACGAAGTCAGAATTTTCCCACATAGTACCCCGCTGTGAATAACTGTAGTAGGTAGTAAATAGAAAAGTTAACATTGTGATTTCGACAGTAGCCTCAGATTGCTTACTTGGATACTTGGATGGCCAGCATAATCTCCATTTTTTTCGGAGATTTGCTGGTTTAGCCATTGTGGTTCCCTCGAATCTCCAGGTCAGCGTGGCTAAAGTCTGGCCCACGTCGCCACCACCACGGGTAGTCGCAGCCCTTGTGGATCAGAGGTAAATTTGCCACCATTCCACAGGCTTAATACCAGGAGGACGGCGGTGGGATCCGGTATCGATTTACTCCTAGCTAGTCTTCTTGATGAAAGCGCCGAACTCTTTCTTAGCTTGGGAGTCGCTGCCAAGGAGATGAATCTCCCCACTGTACATCGGAACCTTACACCAAGAAACACCTCCCAGCTACGATGAGGCAGTAAACCTTCGCGGGGAGCCTCAGGTTAACCGGGTTCAATGTCACTTTGTGCTTCAATTTTAATCCCGTTGAAAGGCGATTGCTGTTACCACCTTTAGGTTAAGACGCTGCTGATAGAAATTCAAAATGAAGCACCCGCATAGTGTGGTGGTGAATACGTTAGTGCCCAGAGAGGGTAATAGCGTGTTCAGTCCTCACCGCAGACACATGCGGTACGGAGTTTTGCAAATATTTCACCATAATTTTAGTTGCATTATCAGGATTCTTCACCATAGAGAAGCGCCTTGGTTTGCTAGAATGTAACCAGGAAATGAAGAGAAAAATACGAAAGGGGAAATGGAAGAAATAAGCTCATAGAGAAAAAAAACAACTATCTACTAGTGTTTACTTGCAAAATCAGTACCCCTATAACAAAAGCAGATAGTCTGGAACACAAAGATGACGAAATATTTGGAGAAATTAGAAGACCGCTTCCTTTAAATGCAGGAGTGGATTGAGTGAATCTGCTCTAAGTCACCGATTCTTTGCGCGCGGTTGCGAAGCGGCTTCTCACACCGGCCGTAGTTCAAATCGGTACATTCACCATTGCTGTCTAATACTTACAATAACTACTTATGCGTCGTTCAGCGCCTATCAGATTATATTCCCCTAGTGAGGAACGGGTAAGTAAAGTATGTGGTTACGGGATTTCTACACGTAATGATTGGGTTCATTCTTTAGAGAGGAGGATCGGTGAGCACCAGCCATCCGTGGGACACCCCTCCACCCAGTACCGATCGTGTCTCAGGATTGAGAAATCATCGAGGGCGAATTGGTAACGTGTTTTTCTTTTTGTTACATTGATCGGAGTTTATGCTGCACCCATGTTTACATGGACATGTTTAGAACGGCGTCGCTCAAGCCTTGCTCCACGCGTTCCTGGAGGCAATGACAATTCCGTCCGGTCATCTGTAAGGGTAATTCAAAATTCAGACATTTTATCGCTGTGACCAAGTGATAAATCTCTAACCATGCCTGTAGGAGTCTAGTGGTGCCGTAGATGTGTACTAGTCGCCACCAGAGCGAATGGTTTTGGAAAGGACGGGCGTTCAGAAAGATCGCGTTTAAAACAATTGCGCGTTTTATACGCTTTCTATCGCAGTCATGTGCTAACTTCGTGGAAAATGCTGTTCACAGAAACGTTTATTCCACAATCTACAACGAACCTTATACTATACACTATTTACGTGGATTTCATAGTTCTTACATAGCGGCACGTCTCGTGGTGCACCGAGCTGCTCGTAATACCGGTTCAGTTAGTATGTTTCATGACGGATTAGGAATAATATTGTTTTGTTGATTTTTTGAAAGACTGGTGTAGCTTCCTAATTTCTTTAGCACTAGGCCAGTATCTACCACAACAACACGAGGAATGCGTGGACTGCATTGATTCCGATGCGTAGTACAGGTGGAAGGAAAATAAACGTAGTCCCATGTGTTCCGCACACAAATTTGGGCGTTGCAGCGAATGCGTTAATTTCTTTACTGCAAGCACAGTTATTCATTTGAAATATTTCAGATTTTCAGGGAGTTGTACGAGGCGTGCTGACCTGTTCGCCCATTCGTACTCTTCGACGAGGGATTCACCCGTTGGGTACGATATACGAGGTAGATTATGGGTTAATTATAGTTTTGAATATAGAATATTTTTTCCGGCAGGGTCTTCCAAGCTGAGAAGGGGTCCGGCGTTTTCACCAGGTAGCCCAGCTGAGAGCAAACCAAGACCAGGATCCACCACCGTCCTAACATCAAACTATTCGCATGGTGGCAAATCTCCGTCTGATCCACAAGGCCGGCGACTGCGTGTGGTGGTGGCGACCTGGGGTAGGCATTGATCAGGCTAACCTTGGAACTCCAGGCAAGTACTGGGGCCCGCAAAAAGCACTGAGGACGTGCTGTTCAAGTATCCAAGTAAGTTAGTAAGTTCATTAATCGGCCAGATACACATAGGAGTAACTCGAGGCCATAAATCGACATCGTTATGATATCCGTGCATTATACTAGTTAATGCTGGTGTTATTCAATCGACTAATTATTTAGAACGATAACGTTGCCAGTCGTCGTCTGCCTGTAAGTAGACAGCATAAGCATCACTACTGTAGGCATGTCATGTAGTCGTTTTCGTTACCACAGTTGTCCTGTGGATATAACTAACGTGTTAGCTGTTAAGCTGTGGTGGGGATGTGGTTGGTTGGGTTCGGCTTCACCACGATGATTTGCCATTTTCTGTCACCGACATAATAAACGTTGGGTTTTTTTTATGGATTTCCAAGGTAATCCTGATAGCGCGTTCACAGCTGTTTGCCAGTGGCGGTCGCAGTGCATGTCTGGATTTGTCTAGGATTGAGGCGATTGAAGTGATTTGTCGCCCTACCGGTTGGAATCAAGATAACATACTTCATTATTGTGAACCGTACAAGTTTTGGGGTTTCTTGTGGGATATAAAGCTATAATTGTGTGGTATGTAGAAGTAAGTGTCGTTTCTGTGTTAAATGTACCTCAATCAGAGGCTTGAGCATCTTTCAGTCCTCCTTTCTTTCATAAATATCGGTTTCCGTTACACAGTTTCTTGTTGCCATTGTATACCGATTTATCCGGTAATCCAGGGCGACCATCTTTTCTACTATGACATACTTAAGTAAAATTTTGTGGGTTTTTTTTTCTATGTCGTGCTGAATGTTCAAGCTGACTATCCAGATTATGCGACAATGCGTGAAGAAGGTCTCAGCATGCTGAAACAATTTTGAGTTGTACATTCCATCTTAGTGCGATATTTTACGTATAACTCGAGAATTTCTGAGTGATCGTTTATATCTGTTAGTACTGAACATTCTTGCTTTCGCAGAGGATGTCTCCGTCTGTGAAGCACTTCGAGTTCGTGAATGAGCCAGTGCGTGACAAGCCAGTTTCAGCAGTTGCAGGAATCGCACACAAACCGTGTAAGATCTTCGTCGATCTTGGATACGATGGGGTCAATACTGGAATACTAAGTGGTTTTCTTCCGCAAATACTTCTACGGAAAGTGTTATAATCAGATTTTTTCAGACGTATATTCTATTCGGGCAATTCCTCATTTGCAGAAAGGAGAGGTCGTTCATCGAATGGCTATAGGTAGGCATTTTCTAAAAACTTTTTTCGGCTTCTATTCTCTATTACTTACTTACTTTATTAAGACCGAAACCTTGTTCGACGGCCAATTTAAAAGACTTTGTTGTGTAGATGCTTCATCTTGCTTAGATTACGGACTTCGAAATTTTAAACGTATTTCGTTTACTAATCCTTAAGCGACAGGTAATATGGTTCCCTCAAGTACCGTGCCGAGCTGGTATATGCACCGACGATTACGGGTCATCTTCAGTTAATACGTCCAACGTCTCCACCCGCAGAACTTGCACTTCTAGCACCCACCGTGGAGCTCAGCAAATTACCCGGAAATTCTTGCCTATTCATTAAGTACAAGTGGGGGAAGGCATAATGAACATTATATTGCTTTTTGTGTGCCTATAGTGACCTGAATCGACTTCGAACAACTTTAACTCCCTGTAAAAGCGAAGAAAGTAATGACGCTCATTCAAATTATCCGAGATCATCCAGATTCCAGATGATAGTGGTGTTGCTAGCGATGTTGCTCATGTACCGCGACGATTTCATCTACAGAAGAACTGTTTGTTATTATCTGTTAGCTTTATCCTCATTTGTCTAACTTTTATTCGATTTTCAGAAAACAGCTGGAACGAGCATTAAAGATGCCTCTGTGGCCTATAACTGTCTGAAAGAGTCGGCTACAGCCTTTCTATGAATCTTTGTTGTATTGTATTGTTTCATTTAATTTTCTGTTACGAAGCTTAAATCTTCTCTCTTTTTACACTCGTTGAATTGTTTTTTTTTCTCTAAAGATTTTTTTTCTTAACAGCTTCATGAGCATGTGACCTAACTCCATTATGCTGCTCCTTTTTCTGAGGAACTCACGCACATCAAGTAGTTTTGTTAACACCCTTGTTAGTAAAAATTTTCCCATGGTTTTGAAGGCGAATTTTCACTGGAAATGTTGGCGTATGACGTTTCATGTGTCGTTTTGACTTCATTGCACCAAACAACGCATCTTCATTTTGAAAGCGTTCATTGCTGCAGTATTACTGTTGAGTATTATTCATATTTTTGAAACCATTTGCAGCTTAGACACCAGTCTTTGCTATCTCTTAGATTATCCATTTGATCTTGAAGATCCACTGGACCTCAACACTCGTGAAGCGACGTAGGTGCTGTTATACCTGTTGATGCTTAGAGNTTTTGTGCTGGAAGTGGTCTTGTGAATTTCAAAACTCAATTGTGAGTCTGAGTTTAATGCACGACAATTTTTTCGGATTACGTAGCCCATAAATCGTGCACACGGTGTGTTCTTTGTGGTACACATCACCAACTTCAGCATTGGCTATCATTCATCTTAGTAGGTCTACCAACATTTTCCGCTCATTGTCAACGCAGAAATATCGTCATCTTTTGTAATTTTTGGGTGGAGATTCTCAAAAATCGGACGGAAACCAGCAGGGATTTTTGTTTGGTATTTTATAGACGCTCCTTTAATTTTGCTAACAGAGTACATTTTTGTTTCCGTGAAGCGCTGAGATGTGCGTGACAAATCAGAAGTATGGAACTGCTTCTATACGCTTAGAGGACACCGCCGGGTTATCACCCTCCTGCTGTACGTCGTAGTTACTCAAGAATTACCATTGTTCACCAGTGAATCACTAACATATTAGCACAATACGTATTGATTTGAATGTCGCGTGATATGTAAGTAATGGTATTGAAAACTTTAGACCATATCCTAGCTCAAAATGAACTTTATTATCTTCGGCGAAAATCTTTTGAATTAGCTAATATTTTTCTAAGGAGCAAAACGTTTAGCCTTACCAAGGCTACCTTATGAGTTTCTGAATCCTAGAAAGTGCATCTACTCTCTTCCTTTTTTTGACGAGAATCATGCTTTGAAAAACAAGGCAATTTAACACTTTGTCACGATGGTCGTTGAATTCTGGCCTTGCTAATTTTGTTTAGTATCCAAATATAGCCGTATCGGAGCGTTTCCAAGTTGATTAGAGAAGGTTGCTCTCTCTCTCAGGCAGGTTGAAACCAATTTCCCTGAAATGAGAAGCTTGGTGAGAGCGAAGCGGGGTGAAAAAGCGCCTAGGTGGACTGAGGAGTTCGTGTAATGAACAAGATGGTTACAACCTCACTTACCGTTTTCTAACAAAGCAGACTATCGAACTTGTATAGATCGTCTCGTGTCTTTTACACTAACTCGGGTAGAAGTCGCACTGTATTGCGCAGTTCCAAGCAACCGCTACAAGACGAAAATGAATCACTATTGTATAGGAAAATCAACCAGTGATGAATTTTCACGTTCTCTTTTAACCCTTTATGATATCATGTGGTATGCCGAATGGTTCTTCTTTTTTACACAGCTATAATGTTGAGTACCGTTGAGTTAACGTTGAATATCTTCTCCAGCGTAAGGATCTTATAAAAGTGGTTGTGGATCGTTCCGTCTCATCTGCAGCACAACAAATCGGCGAAAACTACGTCATTAATACCTCTCCCAATTCGTTATTCGGCCCCCTAATGGCGAAGATGGACGACCGTTTCTAGGCGGCCTTTCTACAAACACTACAGTCTTTTTTTTGCAGAGTAAATATATTTATCAACCTCGTGCAGAGGAAATATATTTATCAACCTCGTGCAGAGTAAATAAATATATTTATCAACCTCGTGCAAGCTTATCAAGAAAGAATACATATTGATTAGTCACACCGAGGTTTAGGGAAGGTCGGTTTCGAAATATTACTACGCTTTGTGCTAGCTGATAATACACCGACCTCTGCACGATGTGCGCAATGATGTATGTCCGGAAGAAATACAAGTTGTTACCACCGGACATTGTCATTATATATCCACCATCAGCATCGTGTATAAAAGGGCATCACTGAGTGAGGATGCCTCATTCGAGAAAATGGCTCACTGAGGAAGATCTGGCTCGACACGAAGGCGAAGACGGAACGTCGAGGCGAACAACAAGCATGGACCATCGACTCGGATCACCGGCTCTGAGGAAGACGAAGACGTCGAAACGTTAGCCGAAAATAAATATATTTATCAACCTCGTGCAAGCTTATCAAGAAAGAATACATACTACATAGTCTATTTATTAGACGACGCTGAAGCGGAAGCACTGTACAGCGACACTTCTGTTCCAATTAGTTGAGACGGAATGAGAAACGCTTAGGATATTTAGACCATTTGAAAAGGAAATCTTTTCATGGAAATTTGGAAACTCCGAACGTATTCTTCAGAATGCTTGAGTTTTAAGTAGAGCCGAAGAACTGCAACTCTATATGAAACTGGTAGGAGATTTTTCCTTCAGCGCTCCTGCGCCGACACCTAATCTTGGGTTTGTTGCAGAGCGAAAGACACCGAGATTTTTTCCTTTATAGTCTTATCGGTTTTTGAAAATAAGCAACAACTTTTCGATAACTAAAGGACTTCGTAGATTATGAACACGAATGGAATGTATGGAAGATTTTAGTGTACCGTTCCAAGGAAATTAGTGACAATGGTGGTAGTATTTTCTATTTGTTGCTATGATCCATCATAAAAACACATTACTATCAGCATTTAGAAATGTTTGGAGCACGTGTGTCTCTACTTTAGTGTTTTCTATTCTTGATTGCTCTATAGGGTAACTGTCATTCGGTATAAAGGATGAAGGATAAAGCCCACGGTGTTGATCAATCCCTGAGGGATGTGCCGTGCATTCGACTTCATTAAGCATCGTTGGAGATGACTGAGTGCATATCTGACCTTCACAATGACTCGCGGTGGCCTACCGATGTATCGAATTAGTGCTATTATCCCTCCAGATAGTTCTGGTAGCAATTTGTTGACACTGAAGAGATATAAGGCTTCTGAGGCTGGGGTGCGGGATCGATCCCATGTGTGTTGCTAGGCCTCTCTAAGCACCGCGCTACACGCACCTCTCCTTTTCACATTTATATTATAAACGCACGTGTAGCATATGTATGGTATTAAAATGTACGATTTTTCTTCTATGTTTTTAAGCGCAGAATAGAGATTTTTCTCCAACAACCCACAACAAAACATCCGTGTCTTACAAGCTGTCAGTTTATAACAAAAAGTATAAGAGAATAACCACACAACGATGCTGAGATCTTTGCAAAACTCAGGACCGCAGGTGACTGTAGGCGGCTACAAACTACAGTAGGTTTCTGCAGATTGCAGGCTTTGTACTAAGAGATGGGTTTCAAACCGGTGATTGCCCAAACTTCAAGCTCCAGTTTCAGTGGAATTGGGTCCAGTGATGTCGATTTGCGCTCTGCAGCCTAATGGTAGGTGATTGCTGATAGGGCAAAAAAAATGACTGGAAGAAACGCAAGGCACGATCATGGTGCAGTGGGTAACACGAGGTCCTCTGAAGGGTCAGTCGCAGGTGCAAGCACAGTTCCAGAGAATTCCATTCATTGAAAAAGAATAGGAAGTAAGGAATAGTTAAGATATTGTGATTTCTATTGCAGCTTTAACGTAACAGAGTTCAATGCGGATTCGTTCTTCCCAGATAATTCCCGTTTACGGGTGATTGCTGATCCCACTGTTAAGATAAAAAACTAGCTGACAAAAAGAGAAGGCGCGTTGCAGTGGACCGATGGTAAAGCAAGGGTCTCAGTGGTGCAGTTACTAGCGCATGTGTTTCCCGAAAAAGTAATTACGGATCTGAATCTGGCCTGGAGTTCGAGGCTTACCATAATGAGCTCAGTTCTTAGCTCCCTTCGTTTAATTACTTCTACAACTACTTTGTCCTTAATAAACCTTTCTGCATTAGACATGTGGCTTGGTTATTTTCGTGCATCTTTAATGTACCTTCCACATGTTTTCCATTAATTGTGTTGCAGGCGAAATTGCTAATGCTAGTGAACATGAGTAAACAAATTTCGCACAGTTACGTAGTAAAAGTTTTCAGTACAGGTGAATACGAAGAACCGAAAACAGCGAATACCTAGCGGATATAGTTTAGAAGAAAATTTGAAAGAAATAAAAGGACACTTAAGAACGAAAAAAATAAGAGATAAAGAAAGTAGAAAAGAAGAAAAGTTCAGAAGAAGACATAGTTTTTAGGCAATCGAGTAGTATTTTCATCTTAAAAACAAAAGAAAAATATGGTAATGAAATTAATGTTTATTCTTGTAGTAAATTCTGGATACTCTAGATAAAGGTTAAAAACAAAAGGATAAAGCTCTCTACGTTGATCCTAAAAGATGCGCCGTGTATCCAAATTCATTGAGCAACGTTGGAGGTGATTGAATGTATATCTGACTTTACAATGATTCGCGGTGGCCGACTGATGTCTCGAATCAGCGCTGCTGTCCTCCCAGACAGGTCTGGTACCAATTTGCGTACTCCGAAGGAACGGAAGGCATGATGAGCCACTGGCGCGGGTACAGATCCCATCTGTGTGTCGCAGGGCGCCTCCGACCACTCCGCCCCTAGGTAGTGAACAGATTATTGCGCCTTAGACAGACTTTAATTCAAGCGTTCTCTTCAACTGTTTAGCATCACTGGCCTAAAACATTAAAATCGTACGTAAAAAAATTTCTAGACACTACGCACTATAACCATTCAAAAAACCCTTTCATTAGTGAATACATAGTAATACAGTACGCAAAAACCCATCTTTGTGAATAAACCTTGCAGATAGCCTTCGTGAAATTTTCTAAATTATACATCCACGCATTGCTCTTATCCCAAAAAGACCACACAAACTTGTTCACATTGGTGATTTACGATCCAGCTTTTATTAAAGTGAACCACAACGGCATAAAGAAAATACACTCTCTTCCGTGCAGATGTTATGAAGATGGGCACCTGATCTATAGTATAGTTTCCCTATGGCTTCATAACCGATAACAACACGTTCCGTGACCGAATTTGTGCGAATTTTCGAACCAAATGTGAATAAACAGAACGCTATTCACAACTGATGCCGGCCCAAATTATTCCTACGACTAGAAAAATATGATATGAAGTTCGACGAATTTGAAGAGAAGCCACTTCAGCCTGAAAATTTGTGGCGCTGTAGTCGATTTAATGCTTTCGCTAAGAGTGACACCTATACATGTCGTAATGGCTTTGAGGAGTGACCAGTACAATACCTATAAGTGTTGCTTCCGGTGGTTCATTTTAACACATA